CTATATCCCAGAATATCAAGGCAGAAAATCCCACATTTTTATTATTATTATTATTAAACTTTATTTGTACCCCGCTAGCATCTCCCGAAGGACTCGATGCGGCTTACAAAGGCCAAGGCCTCAAACAACAACAACAGATAATAACAATATAATACAAGCAAATTAAACACATAAGCAATAACAACAACAAAACATTACACTATTACGCAATAAAACCAGGGCCGGGCCAATGAAGGGTACGAGTTAAAAGTGCTGTGTGTAAGAGGTGATATGTTGGGATTCTGGGCAAGTGCAATGTGCAGAGAGTCTTAGGCTCTAATAAAGTGCTTCTGGGACGTAGTGCTAGAGGTTATCCTATTCCGGAAAGGCACATGGGAATAGCCAAGTCTTCAAGTTCTTCCTATAGACTGCCAGCGTGGGTGCTAGTCTAATGTCTTTGGGGAGGGTGTTCCAAAGTCGGGGGGCAACCACAGAGAAGGCCCTGTCCCTCGTCCCCACCAAACGCGCCTGCGACGCAGGTGGAATCGTGAGCAGGGCCACACTATCTGAATATGGACTCAGATAATGTAAAATGAATGCAGTTTGACACCTGAACTGAAGAATAGTGAAGAAGAGATTAAGGCTAAATGCTAGGGTATTATATTTGTACTTATATTGTTTCTAGAGAGCAAATAGATTTTAAACTGTTATTAATATTTTTATTAGTAGGGGCCCTTCCACACAGCCATATAATCCAGAATATCAAGGCAGTTCATCCCGCAATATTTGCTTTGAACTGGGTTATCTGAGTCCACACTCGGATAATGTGGGATTTCCTGCTTTGATATTCTGGGATATAGCGCTGTGTTGAAGAGCCCCCTACAATAACTGCTTTGAACTGAGGGCCCTTCCACACAGCCACATAACCCAGAATATTAAGGCAGAATAACCCACAATATCTACTTTGAACTGAAATATCTGAGTCCACACTGCCATATATTCCACTTCAAAGCAGAAAGAGTGGGAATTTATTCAACTGTGTGGAAGGGGCCTAATGTATTTTAATTCTATGTAGTGATAAGAGTGTATTGCTGTCTTTTGTCTGTTGCTTATATTATCTTCTGTATCTGTTGATAGTTATAAGTTGCCCAGAATCCCTTCAGGGAGAAGGGGTGGGGTTATAAATAAAGATGGTGATTATTATTATTTTCAGAGGAATTGTGCTTTCACAAGGTCTTGAGCCTACTCTGTCCAAGAGAGAGTTGGTGCCTCTTCAAACCACAAATCCCAGGACTCCATCCCATTGAGCTGGGACAGGGAAAGTGGGGTCAAACTGCATTCTATTCCGCAAGTGGAGATACCCTCACTGTCTTGAGAAACAGGGCTATCATTCCATAGTGCCAGAGGGCAGAAATAGGAAACCAAGGGAGGAGAACCAGATTGGGAGAAATCCAATAGGATGGGCTAGTTCAGGCATGGGTAAACTTGGGCCTTCCTCCAGCTGTTTTGGACTCCAGCTCCCAACATTCCTAACAGCATCAGGCACCTTCCACTTCCCCCTCAGCCGCTTAAGCTGGGGGGGGGGAGGCATGGGCAAACTTGGGCCTTCCTCCAGATATTTTGAACTACAACTCCCACCATTCCTAACAGCCTTAGATGCCTTCCCTTTCCCAATCAGCTTAAGTGGTTGAGGGTGGAAAGGAAGGCATCTGAGGTTGTTAGGAATGGTGGGAGTTGTAGTTCAAAATATCTGGAGGAAGGCCTAAGTTTACCCATGGSCAACCTTGGGCCTTCCTCCAGGTATTTTGAACTACAACTCCCACCATTCCTAACAGCCTCAGGCACCTTCCTTTTCCCCCTCAGCTGCTTCAGCTGAGGGGGGGAAAGGCGTGGGCAAACTTGGGCCTTCCTCCAGGTGTTTTGGACTCCAACTCTCACCATTCCTAACAGCCTCAAGCCTGATTAAGCGGCTGGCGGGGGGAAGGGGAGAGGAAAGGGCCTGAGGTTGTTAGGAATTGTGGGAGCTGGAGTCCAAAACACCAGGAGGAAGGCCCAAGTTTGCCCATGCCTGGGCTATTTGGACTCAAGAGCCAGAAGGAATGGACTATTTAGGAGAGGAAAGCCCAGCTCCCGAGTATCTCTATCTATATCTATGTAGGTATCACTAGAAGGAAGGTCATTGGAGGAGGACTTTTACATAATCATCCAGGACAATTGGGAAGGGGGGAGGGAGAGAGTTGGCGGAGGTATGGAAATACTTCCATCTGATTTGGGAGAGGAGGAAGCCCTCCCCCCCAATCTCCCCGTAAAGAGCCGCAATGGCGAGGGAGCTCCAATGCAAGGAAGATCAGCAGGAGAAAGGGAGTCCCAGGCTGAACCAAGCCACAAGGAAGGGTAGAGACATGCTGAAAAGGGGAGTAACCAGGTCGGGCTCCTTGCTGTGTGTGGAAGGGGTGGCAATGCGGTGCCCCCTCCCTGGGTTTCTGCGGCAAAAGTCTCCGACCCGGGACGCGGTCCAGATCCTGCGGAAGGCAGCCTGGCGCAGGAAAGGAGAGGCCTCCCTCCCTGCCAAAGGGATGCCAGCCTTGCCCTGACACAGTGCCTTCCCTGCTTCAGCTCTGCCTGCTCGGATCTGAGACCGACTCCAGAGCAAGGCAAGGGCAAGAGGCACCTCTCGAGTCTCCCTGGCCAAAGACAACCCCTCCAAGAAACCCCTTATGCTCTAGAACCCATGCAGTCGGGCACCAAACTACAATTATGGCGATTTGAGGAGGCAGAAGCCCTTCTTTGGTAGAGGAGGCTAAAATAAAGAGCTTGTACAACTCCCAGGCTTCTATAGCATTGAGCCATTGGGATCACACTGCATTCATTCTACCAGGCAAGATGCACCCTTCTTCAATATGTTGTCAAAGGCTTGCATGGCCGGAATCACTGGGTTGCTGTAAGCTTTTCGGGCTCTATGGCTATGTTCTAGAAGCATTCTCTCCTGACGTTTCGCCTGCATCTATGGCAGGCATCCTCAGAGGTTGTGAGGTCCCCTCTGAGGCTGCCTGCCATAGATGCAGGTGAAACTCACAGCAACCCACTCTTGGTCTCTTTGCCCCAGATGTTGCAATCTGGAGCTTCCCAATACTGCTTTTGGGACTGTCAATCTATCCAGCTATAATAGAGAAAAGGGACTGAGTGTAAATCTCTGTATCGCCCCTCCAGATATGCTAAGGAAAGCTGTCTTTAGGGACTGTCAATCACAGAATTCCCCCCCCCCCCCAAAAGCCGGCTCTGCTAAGCAAAGGTGCCTTTCTGGGGACTGTCACTCCCAAAATCCCCCATCCAGCATTTCCAAAAGACCCTTCCCCAAGCCCAGAAGTGCTGTCAACTGGAGACCAGAAGGAGATGCCAAAACAACCTCCCAAGACACCTTGCCTAATTAGATGCACCCTTGATCTCTTTGCTCCAGACGCTGCAATCTGCAGATCCCTCCAAAATGCTTTTTGGGACTGTCAATCTACTATCAAGTTCAAATGGGGGGAAAGGGATTGTCAATCACTCAATCTCTTAAAATCATGACAGTAAATAAAGAACACTCTGAAGACAGCTAACACCTCTGAACAAAGGGTTCCCCCAGGCAGGAAGCAGTCAAGCTTTGAAGCTGCAAGGCTATTCAATGCTAATTAGGGTGATCAACTGCAACATTCACACTTGCCTCCAGCAGGTAAGAGTTCTTTTTCCCACCTTGGACATTATTCCACAGATGTATCAACCTCCCAAGCTTTGAAGCTGCAAGGCTATTCAATGCTAATCCAGATGCTCAATTGTAACAGGCAACAGTTCTTTCTCCCACCCTGGAATTTCCACAGATATATCAACCTCCCAAGCTTTGAAGCTGCAAGGCTATTCAATGCTAATCCAAGGTGTCCAATTGCAAAATTCACCTTGACCTCCAACAGACAAGAGTCCTTTCTCCCACCTGGGACATTATTCCACAGATATGTCAACCTCCCTTGCCTTGTTTCCAACAGACCTCACAACCTCAGAGGATGCCTGCCATAGATGTGGGCGAAAGATCAGGAAAGAATGCTTCTGGGACATAGCCATGCAGCTCGGAAAACTCACAGCAACCCAATCGCTGAATCGTCCATCCCGCTATGTGAAGGAAAGCTGTCTTTAGGGACTGTCAATCACACAATTCTCCCCTAGCCAGCTTTGATAAGCAAAAGTGCCTTTTGGGGGACTGTCACTCCCAGAATCCCCCATCCAGCACTTCCAAAAGACCCTTCCCCAAGCCCAGAAGCGCTGTCAACTTGAGCCCAGAAGAAGGAGATGCCAAAACCACCTCGAATCTTCCCTCCAGCTATGCTAAAGAAAGCTGTCTTGAAGGCCTGTCAATCACAGAATCCCCCCCCCCCAAGCAAGTAAAGGTGCCTTCTGGGGGAACTGTAACTCCCAGAATCCCCCATCCAGGCCCTTCCCCGAGGCCAGAAGCGCTGTCAATTGGAGCCCAGAAGAAGGAGATGCCAAAACCACCTCGAATCGTCCCTCCAGCTATGCTAAAGAAAGCTGTCTTGAACGCCTGTCAATCACAGAATTCCCCCCCCCCCCAAGCCGGCTCTGCTAAGCAAAGGTGCCTTCTGGGGGGACTGTCACTCCCAGAATCCCCCATCCAGGCCCTTCCCCAAGCCCAGAAGCGCTGCCAATTGCAGCCCAGAAGAAGGAGATGCCCAAACCACCTCCGAAAACGCCTTGAAACGCCATGCAATCCATGAATCTATGGCTAATGAGGCACGCACTCCCAACGTAGCAACACACACGCGCACACCATCTCGGGCTCTCTTCCCCTGCTACGAAGGAGAGCGCCCCCTCCTGGCCCCTCGGAGCCTAGAGTGCGTGTGTTGAGAGGAGGAGGAGGAGATTGTCCAGACCAGAGGGAGGAAGGCGCTTCGCCCTCCTTTGACCCGAGGAGGATGCCCCAAGGCTGCTTCTCCTCCCTCCCTCCCGCCTCCCTTCCTCCATGGTTTCCTTACCTGAGTGGCTTTGTGGAACTGCTTCTTGAGCCCCGCCACAGACATCTCTGCTGCAGGTGGAAGGAGAGCGAGAGAGAGAGCGCGCGAGAGAGAGAGATGGAGGGATGCCGGAGGAGCGGGAAAGGTCCCTTCTGGTGCCAGCCTCCCTCTTGCCCTCCTCCTGCTTGAGCTGGGATGCTCTGATGCAGAGAGAGAGAGAGAGAGAGAGAGAGAGAGAGCGCCTGACGTCAGAGACAGGCAGCCCTGCCTCTTAAAGGGACAGCCGCCCCCATCCCTCTCTCTCCTCTTTTGGGTCAAGCAAAGAGCATCAAAGCAGCCTCTCTGGCAATGAAACGACATGGTAAGCAGCTTTATTGACTGTGGAAGAATGGAAAGAGTTATACTCCCTCCTGTTCCTTTTCTCAGTATCTTCCACCAGAGTGACCAGGACTGCTCTTGTCCTAAAACTTGGTAGGAATGTTTGGAAATAAATCCATATTGTCCAGATATACCTGATGTAAGGTAAAGCTAAAGGGAAAGGTTTTCTCCTGACATTAAGTCCAGTCACATCCGACTCTGGGGGTTGGTGCTCATCTCCATTAAGCCCAAGAGCCGGTGTTGTCCGTAGACACCTCCAAGGTCATGTGGCCAGCATGACTGCATGGAGTGCTGTTATCTTCCCGCCAGAGCAGTACCTATTGATCTACTCAAATTTACATGTTTTGAACTGCTAAGTTGGCAGAAGCTGGGGCTAACAATGGGAGCTCAAGCTGCTCCCCAAATCTGAACCTGTGACCTTTCCGTCAGCAAGTTCAGCAGCTCAGCACTTTAATCCACTGCATCATTGGGGGTCATAATAATAATAATAATAATAATAATAATAATAATCCAGACTGACAAAGTTTTGGAACACAATACACCAGACATCACGATTATGGAAAGGAAAAAAGTTTGGATTTTCAATGTTGCTATACCAGGTGACAGTTGCATTGAGGAAAAACAACAGGACCTCAAAATCAAACTGAAATGGCTCTGGCATAGACCAGTACAGGTGGTCCCAGTGGTCATTGGCACACTGGGTGCCGTGCCAAAAGATCTCGGCCAGCATTTGGAAACAATAAACATTGACAAAATCACAATCTGTCAACTGCAAAAGGCCACCTTACTTGGATCTGCACGCATCATTCAAAAATACATCACATAGTCCTAGACACTTGGGAAGTGTTCGACTTGTGATTTTGTGATACGAAATCCAGCACAGAGATCTCATTTGCTGTGACATACTGTGTTTTTGTGTCAGTATAATAATAACTTTATTTTTGTATCCCGCCTCCATCTCTCCGAAGGGACTCAGGGCGGCTTACATGGGGACAAACCCGATCAACATAGTTAAAATATAGCACAATAAAATGCATAAAACAAAGTCATAAAGCAATATAAAACAAACAACAACACAACACAATATAAAACAACCATCAAGCAAAAAACCAGTGGTTTGAGTAATAAACAGTTCTGTTCTCGGGTGGGAGGACAGGTGCAAATAAGTTGTGAGGACAGAGTTGATGGATAAAGTACAAAGCCATATGACAAAGGTAGGGATGGAGAGCAATATGAAATAGAGCACTATTTCATATTCAACATCTTTATCAATGACTTGGATGATGGAGTAGAAGTCATCCTTAGCAAATTTGCAGATAATGCCAAATTAGGAAAGGGTGGCTAATACCCCAGAGGACAAGAATCCAAAATGTCCTTTACACTGAATGACCTGCTAGAGATGAATTATGTGGTTTGATTAGGGAAAAATCATTAGGGTGATTTGCAAATGATTGGAAGCCCTTGACACACTTTTTGTGGAAAGACAAAAATGATTTGATAACTATTTTGAAAATTGATATTAATTGGTTATCAGAAGTGTACAATGTCATTAGAAGAGAGGAGGGAAGGGTTATATATATGCATGGCCTCTCAAAATAAAGTTCTTTATATGTTATCTTTTTCTGTCATTGTCATTTCTTAAGTGTAGCTCTTCCATGTTTTTTTCCTTGCAGGATGTTTCCTTGCATGAAGAAATAATAATAATAATAATAATAATAATAATAATAATAACAACAACAACAACAACAACAACATATTCAACAAAATGTCATTGGCTGATTAGAAAGCTGAGTCAAAACTAACAAAATGAATTTCAACATGGAGTAATTTAAGGGATTACATGTAGGCAGGAAAAATGAAGTGCCCATATATTGCATGGGTGATACCTGGCTTGATAACAGTACAAGCAAAAAGGATCTAAGGGTCTAAACATGAGTCAACTGTATGATGTGGCAGCCAAAAAAGGGCAATGCTATCTCAAACAACAGCATAGCATTCAGATCAAGGGAAGTTGTAGTACCATTCTGTTCTGCTTTGGTCCAAATTCACCTGTGTTCAGTTCTGGGCACTGCAATTCGAAAAGGATATTGACAAGTTGGAAGATGTCCAAATAAAAATGACCAAGACGATTAAAAGTCAGGAAAAAAAGCCTTATGAGAAATGACTTGGGGAGCAGAGTATATTTCGCTTGGAGAAGAGAAGACGGCACTCTTTCCAAAGCAAGGAGGCAAGTTCTCTGTTTCTTACTCTAGAGGAGAGGTGCTTGGCTGCTTTTGGTGGAAATATTACATTAGTTTTGTCTTTATTTGTCTAAGGGCCCTTTTACACAGCCCTATATCCCAGGCCGGATCCAGTCAGGCCTTTATCCCAAACATGGATGTTTCTGGGGGCCTGTCCACACCCACCCCAGAAAGCCATTACAAGCCTCGCCGTGCCAGGAGAAATAATGCACCGGGGGGGGGGGGGAATAGCTCTCCCACCACACAAACACACACACTCTCCTGGCGTGTCATTGTATGCACCGGGAGAGCTGGCTGAGTCTTGTAATGGAGGGCACAAAAGTTTTTATTACTTTTCTAAGGGGTCTGGGGACTTGGGGGGAGGAGAGGAGGGCGCCCAAGGGAACATCTGGACAACCACACCAGAAAGCGCATGGGGGGGGGGAGGTTTGATTATTCCCACAGTTTACTGGGCTTATTTAGCCCAGTAAACTGTGGGAATACTGTCTGGACTGCAGTATTTTGCAGTCCAGACCTGGAAATAATGGATTTATCCCACGCCTTCCAAGAAAGCGTGGAATAAATCCACTACTAAATTAATTTGTTACAAAACAAGGTTTTCCTGGTTTGTAGGGAATTAATTTGGGACTGTCCAGAACATTGTCTGGACAGCCCCTCCTTTATTCCAGTAGATACCGCAATAAAGGTGCTGTATGGAAGGCCCCCCAGAATATCAAGGCAGAAAATCCCACAATATCTGCTTTGAACTGGGTTATCTGAGTCCATACTCAGATATTGTAGGATTTTCTGCCTTGATATTCTGGGATCTAGGGTGTGTGGAAGGGCCCTTAATTTAGGTTTAATTACTGCTTTTCAATAATAATAATAGTCAATACAGAATTTATGCAATGGTATAGTATGGGGTATAGTAAGAGGCCAATTTTTCATTAAACCCTCAAGCAACCAGAAACTGCGTTATTCTGGTATCTAACAATCCCCATGGGTTTAAGTAACTTAGGGCCCTTCCACACAGTCCTCTATTCCAGAATATCAAGGTATAAAATCCCACATTATCTGCTTTGAACTGTTATCTGACTCCACACTTAGATAATGTGGGATTTTCTGCCTTGATATTCTGGGATAGAGGACTGTGTGGAAGGGCCCTCAGAGACTACTTGTTTGTTTGTATCCTGTCTTCTTCCCAGAACTAGGACTCAAGGAGCACTGTAGTTGAAAACATACCAAAAGTGACCATGAAAACAGAATTAAAGTAGTCATAATATTAAAATTTTTCAAATTTCTAGATAAACGAATAAAAGGCAATTGAAAATATTAAAAAGCTATTAAAATAGTACATTTAAAATGACACCACACCACTTGGTCCAGTCTTTAAAAGCCTGCTGTTTTAATAGCCTGTGGGAATAAAGACAGTTTCGCCTTTCAACTACATGGCAATGGGGAGTCCCAGAATTGAGAGGCAGCCATCAAGAGGACTAGGGTTGTGTCAATAAAGATACCATTTATTATTTTTGATCAAACACAAAGTGTTTTATCCAGCTGAAATGCAATAAATAATTTCTTCTTGTTATTTTTGTTTAGATTCTGTCCACCTCCCCCCAAATATTGCTATCCAGGATGATTTCATTTCAGGGTAGCTTCATTTCAAAAAGTAGTTTGCTTTTGTGAGGGTCTTTGGAGTTACTTCATTGAATGCAATAAAGAGAAGCAAACTTTAAGGTTGACATTTCACATATGCATGTACTGTACATACACACTGCAAATAATGTTGTCGAGAGCGAAAACACAGAATTCTGGAGGGAAAATCCATTTATATCTTGTTTCAGTGAAGCCTCTAAAGGTTAACCTTAGAAAAAGCAGTTTACAATTACGTGTATAATTTTCAGGTGCAGCAGCCCTTGACAAATAGACTTTCCAAGAAGGCATTACGAAATATAATTGGAAATGTAGATATGCTCTTGTTACAGGCAATATAGAATCAAAGAATCATTGAGTTGGAAGAGACCTTGTGGGCCATTCAGTCCAACCCCCTGCCAAGAAGCAGGAAAATTGCATTCAAAGCACCCCCGACAGATGGCCATCCAGCCTCTGTTTAATAGCCTCCAAAGAAGGAGCCTCCACCACACTCCAGGGCAGAGAGTTCCAAATTGAACCACTTTCTCTAGTTTTACGAGTAAAGAGAATTCATCTATACTTTCCCCTAAAGCAATCTTCGTGTAACACTTATTCAAACCTGAAAAATAAAAATGCAGCCCTGGACATGCCTATTCTGAAGTAGGCCTTACGGACTATGGTGGAGTTTTCTCTCAGATAAGCAAACTCATCTGGGAGTATTAGGGTGTACCTATACTGTAGAATTAATGCAGTTTGACAGCTCTTTAATAACCACGACCCAATGCTATTGGACTACAGGAGTTTATTTTTGCACAATCTTTGGCTTCTCTACCAAATAGTGCTGGTACTTTGCCAGACTTCAAATCCAAGGATTCCAACGTATTGAGCTGTGGCAGTTAAAGTGCTATCAAACTGCATTAATTCTACAATGCAAATGCACCTTTCATCTAATTTAGTAGTCTTTTTTTTTCATCCTACAATGAGGGCT